TTGATAACTTACTACCTGCCTGTATCACAGTCTGCTTACAGTCTTAGATTGGAAGGTTTGATAACTTACTACCTGTCTGTATCACAGTCTGCTTACAGTCTTAGATTGGAAGGTGTGATAACTTACTACCTGCCTGTATCACAGTCTGTCTACAGTCTTAGATTGGAAGGTTTGATAACTTACTACCTGCCTGTATCACAGTCTGTCTACAGTCTTAGATTGGAAGGTTTGATAACTTACTACCTGCCTGTATCACAGTCTGTCTACAGTCTTAGATTGGAAGGTTTGATAACTTACTACCTGCCTGTATCACAGTCTGCTTACAGTCTTAGATTGGAAGGTGTGATAACTTACTACCTGCCTGTATCACAGTCTGCTTACAGTCTTAGATTGGAAGGTGTGATAACTTACTACCTGCCTGTATCACAGTCTACATGTCTCTGTGATGTTTAGTAATTAATTTGCTTTATTTTGATGGCCCTTAAATGGAGAGCGATGTTCAGTCTGGTCTCGTATACATCTAAGCTAGTCACGTTCTTAGCATTCATAATGACTTTCATTGTGCCAGCTATTGTCTTACTATTTTTGTGTATAATAACAGTGTACATGTTTAAATCATGAGTAAAATAACACGAAACGAAAAACGAAAAACAGACCTAGCCAGCCATACCTAGCATGACACAGCTGACATGGTTTATTTTCACAATGAAAGCAACCCCATTCCTATATCTGTAACTGCTAAACATGCAATTGTTCAGTTTGGCAGGTACAGAGAATAGAAATATGGCTTTATGTAACAATATTGAATTGTCTTACCTTTGCAAGCCCAGCTTTATGAGCTCCCAGAGACTCTATATATTCAATATAGGCCCCAAAATCTTTCATTTCTTCTAGGGTTGGTCGAAAAACCATAATTGGGGGTATTGATGAAGACCCGTGCGTTGTCATGTTGGGTGCCTAATGGGAGCACTAGGCCTGCAACACAGAAAAAGGTAATTATTTATAACATTATTCATAATACCTGTAAAACATTAAATTAACTTAATCTATCACATAATATCTCAAGTGATTGAGTTCAACTGTGGTACTATTAAAAGGTCTGAGATTACAATTTTCATATGGCAAATTAGAATGAGACAGGTCATAGGAAGTAAATATTTGTTCTTACAGAACATATTCATCAGATGTATCCTTTGTAAAAAGGATAGTTCCTACAGAAATAGTATACTATATAGTACATATTTTATATATAGTACACTATTTTTTTTAAAACAAATCAATTCGCAGAATGTAGATGTATTATTACTAAGTTTCCTGAGTGGAGATCAATACAATGGAGCCCCATCACAATAACACATGTGTATGCATACAAACAGCAACAATGGAAATTGAGGACATAATTTATATGAACACAAGGCACTGTAATTAATATCTTAACAGGTCATTCATATCATTCATTTTTCCATCAAATTCATCCATTCACTACTATGGGTTACTTTGATACTTGTTTGAATATTTTACTGATGTGAATAAAGCTATAAGGACATTACTGAGTAGTCAACAGTAAACAAAAATATTTATTTATCAAAAGCATCTACAATAAATTCATGAAGCAGTTAGTTTGTACATGAGTATGTATCGTCCAGGCATGAATTACTAATAATTGGTACATGCGATTACCAACAACAACAAGAATGCAGCCCTACGAGAGTCAAGTGTGACAACACAATAACAAGCAGAAATAGCTCCAAATAATTCTCAGCAAACGTATATAAACATAATAATTTTTTATAATACATACAATACTCACTATTCCCATGTAACCAATGAATTTCAATGAATGAGGACTATGATCCCGACTATCTTAGCATACCTCCATGTTAGCACTAAGCAGTCGTGGATAGGAGTGCGTATTATTTCCTGGTCTGGTCCAATGTACTATTTCAAAATATAACCCTGGAGTCGAATATCTTGTGATGTCGATCGAAATGAAGTAGAAATGATCATACATCAAGAATCATTTACGGAAAAAAACAATGCAACCCAAAATACATTCATCAGCTACAGTTATATAATCAGCGGAAGTTGTTCGCATTTGCATTAAAGTTTATTGTGCAAAATCCAACATGGCGTCCGCCATTGGTAGGTCAACTCGAATAGCACAACACGGATTTCTTACCGTAAAAACGTACACATTTCAGCTACAGAAGTCTATTCTAGTGATTTTTTTTGTAGCACCAATCTATTATTCCAAAATAATTTGTCAGAACGACGAACATATGGCGATAACATCGTTTTATGTGATCGCAACTGCAATAGTCGCCGACAACATATGATGTAAACAGAGACGTACGACCAAGGAAGAAGTACTCGCAAGCGGAGGACAGAATGGACACAACAACACTACCGTAAACATCAACATTGCCATCAAATAGCACAAATTTTCATTGCAAATGTTAAAATCATTCGCTGCCACAAATAGTGCTTGCTATATATTAGTAGCAAAACAGTATAAAATACGAAATGTCAATGATTTTAGTTGGGATTTCGGTCTGACAAAAAGTGAAGCCCCGTAATAACCGTGCGTACGTGACGGACACAGTACGATCGTTGAAGCATTGTCGCTCATCACCAGCTAAACCCGTGGCTAGTGTACCCATCTCGTGAACAAATACGCCAACCAAAATTGACTAAACAACTTACGTACCCACAACTCTATATGACAAAATAATTTCACGGCAGCCAACGTTGTCTCGAAATCGGAAAGCAGCAAACGCCAGGTCTGTGATATTTTTTGTTCCCACAGAGACAAATCACACACTAAGAAAATATTTTGTAAATTAGCTTGAACAAAATAGTTCGAATAACAAAAGAATATTCTTCAATACAATATTCACTTTATGTTTAAGGATATGTTTTGGATTCACATCTAATCTAGCATATTTACCCATAGAAAGCGTTTACGCTTTGTCTTTATTAATTATAACATTAAGTAGACACTCGCCACTCGCGGACTACTTTCATAACAACAGCAATGTATTGAGGTGATCTGGAACTCTATTCAATTGCCTAACTCGGCAACATTTGATAAGTTAGGCAAATTGAGCGCACTGTTTTGTAATTTTTAGTGATCGAACTGCTAAAGAATAAAGAGCCCATTCAGGGTATGTACATCGCAAGCAATGTTTTTGGATGTGAATTTATATTTTATCCAATGAAAAAACAAACAAACAAACAATAGACGGGGCTATATATACAGCAAGTAAAACGCATCACTTATACAACACATTGTCCAAGCAGACATCACCGTGACAGACATCCAATCCATGAGCCTATACTATTTTTTTACCATTACCATTACAATCACCATTTTATTTTATTTTATTTTAAGTACGTGTTTCAATAAAGGTAAAAGTTAAACCCATTTTTTATCAGCGTAAAATTGTAATCACAGTCACGCGTGAAGTAGCGCTTGTTTTCATCCGGACTATGTTCATTTCAAAAATACACACTTGTGGTTTACACATAACCGTTAAAAACAAACGCATGACTCTGATGAAGTGGGGGACAAATCAAGGGGAATCTGTTAAACCAGGGATTGTATCTCAGTGGTGACAATTTCAAATTAATTCTTACATATATACTAAATTTTCCTCTTAACTCCAGACTTTCTAATAATCAGTTTCTAAGAGGTGCTTTTCCGGGCAATGTTATAATATGTTTCTTTGTGCTTGAGAAAACACAACATTGTGAAATTCTTTCGTTTTTTTTTTTGTGTGAAAAAATCCTAAAATTAAGATTTATTCATTAAAATTCATTCATAACGAAATATATTGAGTATGTGGCTGAAAGCAAGTGAATGAAATCCCAAAACATCTAGTGTGTTAAATAACTTATGCATGAACAATAACCTATAACAATAAATAAATAAATAAATAAATAAATAAATAAATAAATAAATAAATAAAAAATAAATAAATAAATAAATAAATAAATAAATAAATAAATTAATAAATTAATAAATTAATAAATTAATAAATAAATAAAATAGAATTTTACTCGGTATAAACACTGTAAAAACATTGTCGTAAACGTCTTAAAAAGTCTTTTCGTTGTGGTATCAATGAATTACTAGTTATTTTGGGATACAGTCGATATCATTTCGTGCTCTATAAAACTACGATCTATTTGTCTATCAAAGATCACTACGTAAGGTGAAAATATATGAGAAAATGGTAATATTTTGAAAAAAATCAGATTCAAGTGTACCAATTTACCAAAGAACGCCATTACCGGGCTTGCACAGACGAATCATGAAATATTACTATTTGTTTATGTCGCTTACAGTGTTAACGTGTTTGTTATTCGCTTATATAAGTGTATAGAGTATTTTACTCAACTAACGTTGACAATACATGTGTCGTTTTCAATTAACACTTGCACATACTGGAAATGTGGTCAAGTTAGTTCGTACACGACTCGGTTTAGTTCGTATCGTGCCCACTACTGCATCAAAGTTGATGTTTTGGCACTGGACATAACACTTTATGCCAAATGAATCCCTTGGTGCCCTCTATTTATATACCTGTATATATCTGCCTGTGCTATATGAGATACGTGTCTGGGGCATGATTGTAACAATATATACCCGGGGTTTCGATTCTTGCATGTAGATCTAAATTTATTTAAAAACAGCCACAACATGCAAAATATCCATACCTTGAATTTATACTGAAGTTTTGACAGTATAAATTATCTATAACTTTGCATGTTCAGTGGCAGCGAAACGGGGGGAGAGGGGACGTCGCCCCTCCAAAATCAAGTTTAAACCTTTTGTGTCAGCAGCATTTGGCCCATCAAAATGCAGGAAATAGCGTTTCTAAGGGGGGGTATGCCCCCTGACCCCTAGTAAGGTCGCGCCTTCGGTGCGAGGCTGGTGAGCAGATCTCGCCCCTCCATGCACATTTTCGTGCCGCCGCCTCTAATGTTACTTGCAGTCGGCGTGCTTCGGTTACAAACGTGTCTGAATTATCGGCAAGTTATGTTCACCATTCTAGGAACGAGAGGTTCATTCTTACAATATCACCAGTGATGTTTTATTATGGACGACATACGTAACCATTGATATAAACTGACATACCAAATGAAGCTCATCATCGATACTATCTGAACAGATTTCGCAATTCTTTCTATTTCATCCAGACCCAGCCCAAATTATGGAATGAATCGAGCACAATTTATGAGGATTTATGTGGCATGGAATCATGGGAAGAAACGGTGTGCATTGCCATGTCATAACTTTCACAAAGTTGATTGACAGGTCATACTTGTTTACCACTCTGGAAGGACAATTTGAATCAACCAGGTGTGCTTGTGATTTACATAACAAAGGATGTTTGCGATCTACTGATTTGCCTGCGTGAGACAGTTGCAAGCAAGACCAATTCTGATTGGCTAATGTGGAAACCCAGGTGGTGTCCCCAAATCTGGGCCATTTATGCCTATAAATAGGCTAGACTGTGGACAGTTGGGTCTATCTTTTCAACTGAGTACCCTGTGTGTAGCTGCTGTGATATTGTAAGACGAGTGATACAGGATACAATCATCATTCTATGAGAATTGTATGAACTGCACAGCGATCTATTGCTTTCAGCGGTGCCCTCCAGAATAACATTATTCACTCAGTTCTTTGAGAATTTTTAAAACTGCAGAAGCCGTTGCTACCGTCAATGTACGTAAACAGTGATATATTCAAAAATCACGTTTTCTATTTTTGCGCGTGTGTAGTACACGTACCTAGTACACTGCCCGGCCAAGACTGTTCCGCCTACAGTCGCATATGTAGTATTATGCTTTGACTGTGTATTTCAACGTAAATGTTCTGGTAAAAAGGATTCCTCGACACACATAATCATTGGTTTCATTGAATAACCAATTCTCAAATATTAAGTAAGTGAATTTGTGATTATTTAGATTTTGGTTTCAAATCTACTTAAACCATTTCTACATATGCTTGAATGAATTTACTCATCAATCACTGTTTTATAGTTCGAATGACGATTTTTTTTATTTCGATAGTAAATTTTCAACTTTTTTCCCCAGATAATAACCATTTTTAGTAATGTCTAAGCAGTATATCATCCAATAGAATATATAAATTCCCTAATGTGGTCATGTTCGCAGTATTTCATGAAACGAATAATGTTGTGTTCTCAGTAAACCCATGTTTTATTTTATTTAAGGGGAACCGCTCAATCCTATGGATTGCACCAAAGAATCATTGGACACTATTGTTTATGTTGTTTACAAAGTTAATCTATCTTTTGATATCCATTGTAATTTTAATCCAGAAAGTAAATTCATTGTGAGATTAGGATTAATTGGAAGTGCCCCTTTAACGATAAATTATATATGTTTTGCTATGGTGTAATAGCAAACACAATATAAACATATTACATAATACAATCTCCCAGAATTCCAAACGAGTGTGAGTGACGCATGCGACGAGGAGGGGGGGTCAAAATGTTATGAAGTACGATCACGAATAGGCGCCGCGCACAGTGTGCTTGACCGGTGTGATTGAACGCTCAGCTAAACGCCACAGTGTGCTTGACCGGTGTGATTGAACGCTCAGCTAAACGCCACAGTTTCGAAACTCCTGGTTTAGTGACTCGGGATTAACCACATCTGACAGATGTGCCGCAGCGGAGTTTCACATTTGTTTTCAGGTAACACATCAAGCAAATATTTCACAATTATCGTAGTGCGATAATACCACCATTGACTGTGTACTGCACGCATGTTTCTCTAAAAAAACGCAATGTTTCGTATATAAAATGTTAAAGCTACTACGCGACAATAAAATGGCACCATGTACTCTTGTTTTTGTGCGATTTAAAGATGCTATTATTTCTGTTTGTGAAATCCCAGGAGAGTTGTACGAACGATCGTTCGACTGCTTGTTATCTTTCTTTTTATTACTTTCAGCCAAAAAAAAAAAAAAATATATAATTGTAATTTCACTACGGAGTAATAAAACTTTATTATTAATAATAATAATAATATCAGATACGCAGTGCATTATGGGAGAGAACTCATTGTATATAACGTGAAACTATACTATCATAAATGAAACTAAATTAAATGTCAATATTTTTGTCTGACAGAAAAGTAGTATTCAGTCGTCAAATACACATCGAATTATAACATTTAGCATTAATTTAAAATACTTAATCAGAATTGTGAATAAAGGCATGAACTTTGCATTGTGTGTGTTATAAAATGTATGTTGAATGGTCGCTGGAAGACGATAAAGTGGCGTTTGAGCGTATCGTCTTCAACATTTTTTTATTGATCAAATATACAGATTCAAAATTTTGTTTCTATTCCAAAAGTTTTGGACGGAACTTGGCTCAGTGATTTGGAACTAATTACGAGATAACCGTCGCTATTCTGACTATTAATTCTGTCAGTTGGTATCCGTAGTTATTAATGTAGTGAACGATTAATCAAAGATATGACGTATTCAGTACTTAGTGTGATTGGCCTTATGATTGAAGGTTACGCCCTAGAGTCTTTTTACTGTTTTGTAATTGGTTAGAGTTTTGAAAATGAATAAAGAGAGTTTGAGTTGGTCTTGGGGAGTACAGCAGAACAGACGCAGTCCTGGAGAGACTTGGGGCGAGCCTTGACGCAGTTTAAAAGAGTCTTGGGTCAGCCTTGCGATAGTCTTGGGGATTTTTCCCCAGGGCGCTGTGGCTTATAGAGTGCTCCACAGATCGACTAAGACGAGAGCT